ATGTAGGTAGGTATCAGAATCCTCAGGAATGTTGTCACTAAAGGCAATGTTCACCTGCTCAGTGTCCGTGCATCAGCTGAATAGGTTGGTAGCCACAAGAATACATCATTGAGAATATTTAAACTGTTGATACCGGGAAAGTCTCTCCTCCCAGGGGTGGCAATGGCTGGGATGGGACGTTCTGCTCCACTATGAGCTTGGCCAGGGCAATGCAATGCTGCACAGACTTCACAAAGATTTAAGATTCTAAACTAGCTAGTCTGGCTCTAGACCACTCTTTACCATACAGTACTATTCATTTCAGAGGTGTTCCTTAACCTAACTCAAACAGTGCCCCTTCCTAGTTCTTTGTTGTAGTGAATAGAATTTCCTCTCTTTTTGTGAGCATGGGTGGGAGGGTCCTTAGTTTGAAATCAGGCAGGATCAAATATACTTAAGCATCTCTGAAGAGATATGTTGTCCTCTAAGAGATCTACTTCCAAGCGGGGCCAAGGAAACTCCTAGGTGAGAACACACCCTCAGGGTAGAGAGTAGAGTATACCAGTCTTAAGTACAAAAGGTCAGTGCTTAAAGGGAATGATGATTCTTAAAAGAGAGTAGTGATTATCACTCAGATTGTTCTCCGGCCTTGTCCCAGACTCATGCCTAAATCTTAAAGGATTTTCTGAGAATGAAAATGGAAAGGGCTGTTTTATTAAAAACTTTGAGAGGGCTTCCCTGGTGGTGCAGTGGTTGAGAGTCCGGCTGCCGATGCAGGGGACACGGGTTCGTGCCCCGGTCCGGGAAGATCCCACATGCCGCGGAGTGGCTGGGCCCGTGAGCCATGGCCGCTGAGCCTGCGCGTCCGGAGCCTGTGCTCCACAACGGGAAAACTTTGAGATACGTTGGGACCTCAGTGATACAGTATGGCAAAAAGAAAAATTACTCTTGAAAATCCACTGCTCAATGTCCATGCCTCAGCTGAGCAACTGGGCTGGCAACTACTACTCTAGGACAGTGACGAGAGACAGCATCTTCAGTGCAAACATTGAAGTGCCCTGAACCAAGCAACTGGTCGTGCTAGCAGCTTTACATGGAAATGATTACATCAGGGCCAGGAACAGGCTGAGGAAAACGGACATAACTCACGGTGGCAGAGAGGTCAGTGAGTATGCAGGAAACACTTTCAACTCTACTCCTCAAACAGTTGGGAAGGACTCTGAAGGAAGGCTCATCATACAACAGACTGGGAAGACTCAGTGTGTGCCAGCTATTATAACCTAGTCTGCCTACTAAGTTGATAGAGCCTGAAAAATATGAATTATACACCTACACATTTTTCTTAAGCCTTTGAAGCTATTGCTTAACTACTGAACAAATAACATGTATTAAGGGAACACTTTGCAATATTTCTTTTTTTTATTGTTTTATTTTGAAATAATTATAGATTCACAATAAGTTTTAAAAGAAGTACAAAGAGGTCCCATGTACTCTTCACCCAGTTTCCCCCAACGGTAACGTCTTAATAACTGTAACAAAACCAGGAAACTGACACTGGTACAATCAACAAATCTTACTCAGATTTTGCTAGTTTTATATGCACTTGTGTCTAAAGGTCTGTGCAATTTTATCATGTGGAGATTTGTATAACCCACCCCACAATCAAGCTATAGACCTGCTCCATCACCACAAACATCCCCCTTGCTACTCCCTTATAGTCACACTCATCTCCTTCTCGCTCCATATCCAACCCCCCCGCCCCCCATTTCCTAACACCTGGCAACCACTAATCTGTTTTCCATCTCTGTCATTTTGTCATTTTCAGACTGTCATATAAATGCAATCATATGGTTTGTAGCCTTTTGAGTTTAGCTTTTTTCACTCAGTATAATTTCATATGTTTGTGTCTTAGCATATATATGTTAACAATTATGATTTTATATTTATCAGGGGATAAAATGATATTAAAATGTCCACCTCCCAGATTCATCAAATGGCTGGTCTTATTTCTGACTTATATTGGCATCTCTGTATTATTTTTCTGTCTTAAGAAGTCTTACCTATAAACATGAATAGGGTAATAATGGTGGTTAAATGTTAACTACCACTGCATATTGCAATGCCTTAAGGGAAATGTTCAAAGGTTACATTTTGTCCAAACATAATAATGGAGGGGGCAGGGGTGTCTCTTATCAGATGAAGGTGTTTCAGGGGAATTTCTTAGAATAAAAAAAAAAGAAAAAATATTAGAATAAAAACACAGGAAGGTTAAATGCTAGACAATTTATAAACTAAATTATTGTAACTGTCTTACTTTTAAAAAGTATAGAGCAATTAGCAAATAAAGAATGTGTTATCCTCTTTACCATCAAGAAGCCAGTATACAGAACATAAAGCTCTCATGAAAAGCCAGGTCATGTGGGTGATATCTGACCATTCCAGAAACTCAGAAACTTCTGCTGACATTATAGAAGGCCACGGTTTTCCAATGCCATATGGATTATGGGGATAGCTAGGGTTCTAAAAGTGTTGTAGCATAACTAAATTCCATACTATCTGCTGTTTTTGAATCAGAGAAACTCACAAACCTGTGGAGCTGAATCGATGAGAAGTCTTTTAAACTACGACCAAGAGGCAGGGGAAAGGACAAGGTTTCACCTTGTTTTCTGTCCTGAGTAGTTTTTTGATTATCTAGGCTTCTGTTGTAAAACTGGATGTTAAGCGTTTAGGAAATGCCATACAGTTCTATTCATTTTAGTCAGGTATACTTTACACTGGAGACTTTTCAGAGTTATTGTTAGTAACATGGACAGTGAGTTTGAGATAGACTTCATGTTTATTTTTTAATATTGAAATTTATTAGTTATCTTAAGGCATTGGCTAAGAGAAATAGAACTTTTTTTAAAAAATAAAGAGTAAATTGGTTCAGCTTTTTGGGAATCATTTTGATAATATTTATGAAATCTGAAAATGCTTATGCCCTTTGTTCTGCAATTCTGCTTCTAGCAATCTATTCCTCAGATATAATTATATGTGTGCAAAGATGTTCAGACATACATGATGTTCTCTGCAATACTGTTAATTATTTTGACTAATTAGAAACTGTAAATTTCCACTATTTTGGAAAAGGTTAAATAAAATTATGGCACATTAAATTATGAAAAACTATGCAGTATTAAAAAGAATTAAGTAAATGAAAAGTACTGACATGAAAAAAAATCTCCAGGATTTTTACGTGAGAAAAGCAAAAACCAGTGAGGGTCTTGGAAGGATGCACACACAATTGTTACACTGGTTATCGTGGGCAGTGGGTGACTTGTGAAGAAAAATAATTATAACTTTTTAATATTGTTTGAATTTTCCAAATGAGCATGTATGCGTATTATTACTTGTGTAGCTAAAAAAAAAATAAATAAATAAGGAAATTTCATCAACAGAATATATCCCCAAAACAACAATAGCAAGACCGCATCAGCTATTTATCTTGCTGATATTTTTAATATCCATCTAGCAATGTAAGTTGGCAATGTTTACAACTGCAATTAGTATTTAGATATAACATACAAAACAATATATTTGACCTTTTGCAAAGTGGGATTTAGGTTAGATACAGTATTTTAAAAATGATCTCTCTGAATAAGATACCTGAACTGTTTGAAAACTGTTTTGCCAATAAATAAATAATAAATAAACTAAGGGAGGAATCCATGCAACCGCAAAGGCTGGGATCTGATTTTCTTGGATAGCCCTGCAGTGCTTGGCACAGAGTAAGTAATAAATATTAAGTGAATGATGGATGAATCGACAGTTTAAATCTTTTAGGTAGCACCCATTTTTAAAAAGCGGGATAGTAGCAAGGACAGATGATTGAGCTTCTTGTTACTGGCTTTTCAAATGAGGATGAGAGGGAGCGGCCCCCTCTTTCTACTCAGGAGGTTAAGAATTTGGTGGAGGACAGCGTTTAGTGGCTCACGTTTTGGCGATCTCCGAATTGAAAAATCATTCAATTTCGGAACCAAACAGAATATAAAAGGGAAAAAAAGCGAGTTGCCACTAGTTATATGCTTCTAATTTTGCTCAGACTAAGAGGAAAGGGCTTTAGCGGGTGTGAAACTGTAGGCAAATCATTCTATTCATGTCTAAATTTTCATCTGAAAAACGAGAATAAGCACTCCCTCATAGGTTTTTGTTGTTGTTTTACAGGGAGAATGTGGAAACTTTTATAAAATGCTAGCAATACAGTGGCCATTCCATATTGTGCGATGAATGTTTCCCATAAATTCGATCCCACACAGTCCAGGTCGAAAAGCACTCAGAGACTAAAACTGTATAAAAACGCAAATATTCTCAAGTTCAGGGCAGTCTCTTTCCCCTCTTTCATCTTCATCCCAACCACACCTATCGAGCCGGTGAGGGTCACCAGGCGGGTGACTGGCGCTTCCTGGGACTGCAAGGCCTGGGGCTCCGAAGACCACAGCCCGCGCCGGGCCTCCCTGCTCCGGGCCGAGCCACCAACAGCCTTGCCCACCCGGGGCAATTCCGCGGCGGTTCTGGGGCCCTCGCGGGACACTCCTACCTACTCTCCGGAGTCGGGTCCCCAACGCTTTTCCCGCCGGTAGAGGGAGGTGTCCAAGCTAGGCCGCCCCGGGCGCAGAAGCCGGAAGGCCGGCGGAGCCCGCAGGAGCGCGGGTGGGGCGTCGAAGCGGGAAGCACGGCGAAGCGGGAAGCACAAGGCGCGCGCTCCCGTGAGCGCAAGAGAGAGGCGGGGGCGGGGCGCGCGCGCCGGGGCGGGGCACCCGGAGGCGGAGTCTCAGGGCAGCCGCAGGAAGAGGGCGCCCTGGAGCCGAGCCGGAGGGCGGCTGTGGGCGGGGCCCAGGGAGGGCGTCGACGCTGAGGGGCGGGGTGAGGCGAGGCGGGGACGCGCTCGGGGGGGTGGGGAAGGCGGGGGCACGGCGGTGGCGGGAGCGTCCCTGGTCTCCGCCCCTGCTTTCCACTCTCCACCTTCCACCGGCCGGAGCTCGGGAGAAGCGCAGCTTGCCGGTACCCGGAGACGCCCTGCTGCCGCTGCCTCCTCCCTCCGTTCGCGGTGGGCCCGTCAGTCTCCGCACTGTGCGCTCCTCCGTGTGGGCCATGGATGGGTAAGTGCTCGGCGGCCACCGGGCTGTGCTTGCCCGCTTCTTCTCGGTTCTCGGCCGGACGCGCCGGAGCGGGGGAGCCGGGTGCGGCGCCGGCGGCCCAAGGAGCGGCCCGGGCCGAGCCAGACGGCGGGGCTTCCGGGCGCCTCCTCAGGGAGTCCCGAGTCCCGGAGGGGCGGTCCGCCGCAGCCTCTCCTTCCCCCTCGCAGCGCCCCCGTAATGTCCGCCTCTTCACACCCTCGCCTAAGGAAGCGGAGGAAAGCCCGGTGCAGCCCGCGGGTGCCGAGGTCCGCCGAGCCCGGCCCGGCCTCCAGACACTTCCTCTCAGAAAATGGTGCGCGGCGCTGGGGGAGGCGGAGGCGGCGCTCGGGGCGGGCGTCCTCCCGCTCGGAGAGTTGCTGTTTACCGGGGAGGTGGGGCGGGCGCTGGAGCTTCCTCTGGCGGGTAGGCGAGTGTCCGCGGAGTGGCGGACTTCTAGGGCACGCGCAGGTACACGTCTGGACGGCGACCCGGTCCCGGAGCCGGGGTCCCACGCGGTCTCTGGGCTTGTGCTGGGAGCTCTGTTAACGATTACCGTACACCGGGCGTCTGGACTCGGTGACCAGGGACGCGTGCCCCTACCAACCCCCCGCCCCCCAAGAAACTTGTGAATTCCCTGCGATGTATGCAAAATATTGCATAAGTGCGATTTTCGGGGAGCTTTGAAACGCTTTAAAAGTGAATGAGGTCTGTGGCCAAAGTAAAGATTTAGGATCACCGATATAAATATTTCTCTGGGGACCCAGGATTATGGGGTGGGACCAGACAGATATTTGAATGATTAAGAAAAAACTAGATTAGGATCTTGGTGAATTAGTTGAAGGTCGTAGCCTATGTGCATCAAGATCCAAAAAAAAAACCTCTATTAGAGCCTGCAAATCCACTTATTTATTTTCATTATGCACTTGAGATTTTGTTTGGCCTTTTACTTGATTTTGATGACAAGATTTCTGTAGACCTCTTGGTTGTGGAGTATACGGAACTTGCTTGAACAGTAAAGCCGCGTACATGTTGCCATATAGTTGATTGTAATTGTACTGTGTAAAGACGATGGAATCTTCGAACAATTTTTTCCTTCATTAGATTTCGTTTATCCTAGTTTTATAATGTCTATATGATAATATATGGGTTTAACTCATTTGAATGTACATTGCACAGTTACAGACGTTAGACAAAGTGCAATTTTAGATTTCATTTGTGGTGGTGATGTTCTCCAAAGTATTTTTAAAATTTAATTGAATCTATTTTTATTGTTTAATTGAAGCTTCTCTGAGAGCATTGTTGAAAACTCATTTCACACCACCTTTTTCAATTACACTTTATATGTGTGCAGAATTTTGCTATCTTAATTGTTTGTATCATTACGGCAATAATTCAGTTGAGAAAGGCTGTGGAAGTAGTATTTCACTATGTGTAGTGAATTGTCTTGACTAGTGGTTTGACTTGAGATACGGAAGCAGACTAGCTTTTTGTATTGGAAAATTTATAGTGATAAGAAAGAGGACTCGGCTTATGCATCTTGGCTGTTAAACTCTTGGGCAACTGTGAAGTGCAGACTTACTCTTTCAGATAGTGTTTAAGAAGTTAACTTTCTCTTCACCCTAAATGTGGTTTGAAAGCTAAGAATGAGTTTATTGGTTTAAATATGTGGCGCAGTAAGACATACTGGAAGGTATTTGGGAGTTCAAATAGCAGCATGATTTACTCTTTGCGTCGGGACCAATACCTAGTACATATTAGACAATCTAATTTTTTATGCACAAATGTCAGTTATCACATTTAGATTTCAAACAAAATTTAAGTTTCAAAAGAAAAAATTTTAACTCTACATGGTTATTGTTTAAAACAAGTTTGCATCATTAAACAAACATAAACTTGTTTACTTTTATTAAGTAATGATGACATAGGTTATTAACAATATATAGAATTTTATTATAGCTTTCTTTTAGGAAATATGGAGACAAACTTAATTGAAGACAGTTTTTTGGGGGGTTGGAAGAGATGGATTTTTGCTTGGCAGAAGTATGTGGGTTTTTTACATCTTGGTGTTACGGGATATGGTTTTGAACACAGTTTATGCTTTTAGGAGTCTACTTAAATTTCTACATTCTTCCATAGCCTGAAAAGGGTCCTTTTTCATTATTTTGGATAGTTAAAAAAACAAACCACCAGTCAGCATATCTTTCTAGTTCCACCTCAAATCCCAACTGTCTTGTGTGTGTGTGTGTGTGTGTGTGTGTGTGTGTGTGTGTGTTCATTTCCTACTGATACTTAAACACAGTTTTGATGTGGTAGAATTTTTTTAAAGCAAATCTTTGATGTCTGAAGTTTGATGTTTGTGTTTTTAATTCTGAGAGACTGTCTTAGCTATATTTTGGTGAGCCCTTTGGGTGGTAGATGCAAATTTGCAAGTTACTGTCTATTTCTGTAAAATCCACTCACTGGTTTTGTTTCATTTAAAACTTTAAATACGATAATTCATACCAGTGATTTAAAAGAGTGAACTTTCGTGATTGAAAGTTTTGGTTTGGATTTGTTAAATAGAGGTAGATGGATAAACACGTACTCATTTTACTGAAGCACAACTACATTTTTCTAAATACCAAAAGAGAATTTGATTTATTATGTGTTTCTTACATTGCTATTAAAGCTTTGCTTTTACACTCTGCTGTTGCTAGACTGTCCCATCACTTTTCTTTGTATTAACATTTCACAACTCATCACATTCTTATTTTTATTATTTGTTATTATAATTCTTTTTTTCTTTATCTTATTATCTCTGTCTTTTTAAAACTTGTTCTCTAACTTTGTTTTCCATTTTCTCTTTTTACTTTTTCCATACAGTGTTGTTACAGATCTTATAGCAGTCGGTTTAAAGGTAGGAATCTTTTAATATCCTTTCATAAGCATTTTTAAATCTTAGTTTTGGCATTTTTTTCCAATGGTGAAATCATCTCACCTGTTCATAAAATTATCTGTTTTATTGTATGATGATAATCTTTCAGTTTTATTTAGCTCCAACATAAGTAGACCTGTAGCTAATTTTGGATTTTATGTGTTTATAAAGAGTGGTTACAATATTATCTTGTTTATATAAAATGTGAACAAAAAGTTTAGCCCAAAATTTCTCTTGAACTATCAGGGTATTTATTTGCTTTTGTTGCTTTAGCAGTTACATGTAACCTAGGCTCTGGTTTATTTTCCTGCCATGTCCTTTCTTTTATCTTGTCTTGGATGCATTTATGAGTAATAAAATAATAATAGCAGCTAAAGTTTCTTCAATTCCTATTATATACAAGATGCTTTACATATATTTCACTAATAATTGAAACAGTTCTTCAAGGTAGGTGTTAATATTCCCATTTTAGAGATGAAAAAATAGGTTCAGAAAGTTTGTGTTCAAGGTGTGGTGCACCAGAGTTCAAACCCATGTCTTTCTGATTACAAACCTGACCTTTTTTTTCATTGTACCTCGCTGCCAGCAATGAGGGTACTGTCTAAAAGGTGAACAATGGGAGAGCTGGATGATTATTTTACAGTAATGATTCTTCTAAGTTCTAAGTCATTTCAGTTTTATCAAAATCTTCTCATTTATTGGATTCTAAAATACAAATCGAGTTCATCAATATGAGGCTTTTAAAATATAAATGGAAGTTTTAAGATTTCTTTTAGCAATTTGGTATTTGATGCAGCTGAGTTGAGAATCTAGTTCTAGAGACCACTTACAGTTCATATTACTGTAGAAAATGGAAATAATTCATGTGTATATTATATGTATTTTATGTAAAGTTGTTCTGCTGCTTTCTGTCCATCTCTAGCTAACAATTTCAACACTTCTGCATTTGGTTTTATTGGATCTGATGGTGGTACTCATATTCCTAAAACATCTTAAAATATAAGCGTAAAGATAGCAGAGTTTTAGACTAACAATAGGATGTTCAAGATTAGCATAATTACTACTGCTTATACTGTCTTTTGAAGTTGGATGGAGTTAGCTTGCTTTGGCAAACTTCGAACATATTTTATGAGTTGAAAATAAATGGAGAAACCTCTTGGTGGGATATACTTTTTTTTTTTTGGTAGATACTTATGTCAGTTTCTCATTTGGGAATAATACTCATAGATTAGAAATCGCAGGCTTATGTCTTGGATCCCTTTTGGTGTCTCCATAGGGGCCTGTGAGGGAAGGGATATTTAAAGTGAGAGTTGTTTTGGTCTTACCAGAAACGTAATTTGTGATTCTACACTTTATCTGGGAAAAATGAATACATGAAACATTTAAAAAACTTAAATTTGGGAGTTGAGGAGTTATGCCTGAAGGACTGTCATGCCTGTTTTATTTTGGGGAAAAATATATCTTGATGATAGATAAGAGAAAAATTTAAATGTAAGCCTCAGGAACTAGATTTGAATACGCAGTTAGGATCTCTGGCTACCTGTGTTCCAGCAAGCAGTTTGGAAACAGAGATCAGATCCTACTCTGAAGAAAGGATAAGCTGATTAGTTGATTCACTTGGCAATACTGGAAATGTCTGTAAAATTATTCATTATATGAAGAAAATTCTCATAAGATTGTTCTGTTTCTTTCTTGGATCCCATCCGAGGAAGTTTAGTTACCAAGTAATAGGCCAATAAGGCTCATATTTTCTCTAGATTGTATAAACCAAAATTAGCGAATTTAAATAAGTTCTTCAAGAATGTCACTTATTTTCTTTTATTTGCTGTCTGAATATAATGACACAAGAAATAGTTTTAGCCAGTGAAAGAGTGGATTTGAGGTTATGCTCCATCAGTTGCTTTCCCGGATGCAGAAAGTAATATGGATTTTATTTTAGAGAATTGAAAATACCCTTAAATATGAAGTCCATTACCTTAGTGAAAGAAAACTGAATTGTTTTTAGAGATTAAGTGACTCACTAGAATGTGTCATGAGGGCAGGAATTTTTGATATTTCCTTCACTACT